ACACACACACACACACACACACACACACACACACACACACACACAAATACACACATATTGAAGCTGCTAGCTGGCTTGGAAAAAGTGTTGCCTACTTTTGAGCGCAACGCGATTGCAATTTTTCCTTTTTGTCACATTTTTTTCTCGCTGTTTTGAGCGAAACAAAATTCGGTTTTTCCACTGAAGAGCTGAGTGAATGACTTGTGACATGAAAACGATTTTTCCGCCGTGTTTATATATATATATATAAATATATGTATATAAAAGACGGCGACATCATTCGCTGTTTTAGCCATCCACATCACGCGGCGGGTTGACAACTTAACTTGACTTAACCAATGCCTTGCTTTGTATGTATGTATGCATGTGTGTGTGTGTCTGTCCGCATTTATTGGTTGAAATCTTGAGCTGTCAGCGCGTCGCACTGTCGCCTGACAGTCAGCCGAAACAGGCAACAAACTAATGGCCAAGAAGAAGTACAAGCAACAAAAGGCAAAGCCAAAAAGGCAACACGGAAAAACTGTTAAGAAGAGCAGGTCGCAGCGCGAATACCCTAAGGTATATGAACAGCCGGGCAGGGGTATAACTCTTTGAGCAATGAGCATGAGCTGATATTATGAATGAGTTTGAATGGAATTGCAGCAACTGTTAGCCAAGTTGTTGACCAAGAAGCATCTCTTAAAGCTGCTGCTATTCATAATTCTCTTAGAGCTGCAGCTCACAGCTTGAATGGGAAATAGCCCAGGGGCATACTCTATATAAGCATAAGTTTTTTTTTTGTATATACATACTAATAAAAACTTTCTTTTCTTTGTTTAAGCCAAGCCGGAAGCTGGACGAAACTTGAAGCGAGGCAGGCTTGGCCTTGTCATATAAAAACGGATGTATGAGGTATCTATACAAACTGATTGATTATATTATTTGTAGCAAACCTCGTATATTAACTTTTGTATGTTACATGTACAGTAAAACATACCTAAATTGACTTTTGATTATAAAACTGAATTCTTGGGCTGAATTCTTATACTAGTCCAATAAGCAAAGCATGACTCAATGCCAAATTTAACTGGCAAAGTGTGAAAAACCCTTCGAAAAACCACCTTAACCGCTGCTAAAAAACTCAATGAATTCTTAGAAACAAGCTCTCGTATTTAATGTAATAAAATTACAACTCAGTGTTACATGCTCACTCTCCAAATGCATATAGCCCACGCTGCTCAAGGCACATCAAAGGGCAGAGCCAGAGCCAGAGCCAGAGCTACAGCCAGCTGCAACTGGAGCTGAAGAAAAATGGCAAACTTTTGTGCAAAGTAACTTTGCTTGTAACGCTGATGGTCCCCAGCGTATTTGTCATATGTCGGCCAGCAGGCAGGCAGGCAGACAGCACACAGAGCGCGAAAGCGGGAGAGAGGGAGAGAGAGGGAGAGAGAAACAGCGCGAGAGAGTGACAGAGTGAGGTCGACACACAGCGGGAGCAATCAGACAACTATTTGGACAGCAGCGCTTGGGATCGACAGACGTTTCACTAAGTATGCTCGCAATGTTCCAACAGGGATTTAACTTCAGGGCTGGGCAGGCGTTGGCTGTGACGGCGACGTTGACTGTGGCTGCGACGTCGGCAGCGACGACCTTGACTTGTTTATGCTTTTTACGTGTTTATGCGTCGCTCTATTCATTAACTTTTAATTTAATAATTTAAGACAATGTCTGACAGTCTGGCTAGCGCTCACTCGCTCGCACGCTTGCAAGCTCTCGCACGGCAGGCTCTCTCTCTTGAGCGTGCTGTGGCTATCTGTCTCGCTCTCGCTTATGCTTGGCGGTCACAATTACATTTTGTTCGCTTCTTTTATTTTGCTTGCCAAATTCGCTTTGATTTCATTCTTTTTTTTATGTTTTGCTCGCTTGCTGTATGCTTCTTCCAGTGTGCGTGAGCGTGAGCGTGTGTGTGTGTTTGTGTTTGTGTGCGTGCTCTTTAAAGGCCTAGTCATTGCATAGCTATAGTCGCGCTGGCATACCTCTTAAATTGGCATAACGTGCATGACGTGCCCCGGCACGCAAATAGGCGTTAAAATGTCGGTTAAACAAAACATTTATTTTTTATTATGCACAGCAACCCACATACACACACACACACACGCACACACACACACACATAGACGTATAGGGTGTGTATAGACTCTGCATATGCCAGCAAACGCTGTGCATGTTATCACTCTCTATGCCAATTCCAACCTTCTCGCACGCCCCGTGTCTCTGTCACTCACACTCACTCCCTGTCTCGCTCTCGCTCCCACTCGCGCTCCTTCGCTCTGTTTATTGACGCTCCTTTAGCCGCGCTAAATTTGTATTTCAACGGTAATTTTTTAAGCTTCGCCCTTATGCATAAATTATCAGACGTGGAATGTGTGTAAAAAAACATAAAGTGCAGAGGGGAACGGGGCAGATGAGCATTTGCGCTTTGACTACCAATAAATAAGAGATTTGATTTATTTGGCTTACGGAATAAAAAGTGAAACCGAAATAGAGCCATAAAGGAGCTAAGTGAATGGTCTATAATATTTGATTTGTGCATCAATAATAAAAGACTCTAGGAAATAGAGGTCAGGGCGTGAGATTGATTTATGATTGTAAATATAAATATTCACATGAAAGTAAAGGTGAGATCTTAAAATGTATTCTCATAGGAGACTTAAAGGAATTAGCTAGATATCAAATAAAATTCAAGGAAGTAGAGCTGGTAGTTAAAAGTTTAATTGACAAAGGTGAAATTAGCTAAATGTAAAACTTATTTTAAACTGAATTTCAAGAATTGTGATTCTATTGCAAATGGAATTATCAAGAAAACCTTCAGATTTCTGCTCTAAAATTGCATATAGTTTTTCTATGTGCTATTATAAAAATTTCATCAATTTCAGGAAATTTTGCATATTCAAATTTGAAGTTTATGTATAAATATCACAAAGTTTTCACTTGAATTCATATTCGAAATTCCTTAAAAAAAAGAAATAGTGCACTCCATTAGCATTTCTTGGCATATTGTATTCCAATTCGAAATGCAATTTCAGTTGGCAAAGGACTTCAATTTGTAGTCACCCCAGCTCCAGCTTCAGCCCCAGTCCAATCTTTTAGCTACCTATTCAACCACCTCCAACCAGCCAGCAAGCAAATGGAGCAGAACACAATCAAAAGCCGAAGGCAACAACAACAACAACAACAACAAGAACAACAGGAGCGAAACGAGATTTTCAAAAAAGATTTTTCTGGCCATATGCTGCAAAGCAAAAGCATTTTCATGTTTGGACTTTTAATTTTCACTTGCGACTGACAAACGGGCAAAAAAAAAAAGAAAAAAGAACGAAAGAGAAACAAAAAGACACCACCAGACAGACAAAAGGTGTGAGCACAACAACAACAACAACAGCAACAACAATGGGATGAAGAAGAAGCATTACGAAAAACTGTTGCAAATAATAAATGAGTCAAGTTCATGAAAAAGCAATTTCTTGCGGCAGGCCACAAATATTAGCACCAGCAACAACAACAACAACAACAACAGCAGCAACAGCAACAACCACACCCACATTGTGTTGATCCGGGCACACCCGAAAACGCACCCTTAGGGGGTTGCCAGAAGTCAGAAATTAAGTAGCTGCCAAATGACATGCTGCATCGCATCAGGGGGACGCTGGCAGTGAAACGAACCCAAATGGGCTAAACAAGTGATTTGCTTTGATTTTATGACTAGCGCCCTAACTGGATGACTGAGCTGGTCTCGCCTGGCCTGCTCTGACCTGGTGGTTGTTAAGGGGTCGTTGTCTAGCAG